ACCCTGTACAGGGTCGCTATGGGTCGGAACAGACTCGAAGGTACTTAACAACAACAACAACAACAACATGGAAGTATACACCTAACTGCAGCGATTGCATAAGTTAATTGTAAATAACTGGACTGTATATGGAGCTATACAATTATGATCTGTTAGTACATCTTGATGAGTCCTCGTGTGGTGCTGTGGGTTAATTCGTCAGATTGCAAAGCTGTTTGAACTGTGAAGTCGGCAGTTCAAGCTCACCAGCCACTCCTCAGAAACTATATAAAGGGTCACTATGGGTTGGAACTGACTCGATGGCACTTAACAACAACAGAACATCTTGTATGGAGACATTTGCATGAAGGATTGTGAGTGTGTAAGGAAGTATACACACACAAACATACTCATTAATAGATAAAATGTGTTTCTGTGTGAACAGGGTATTTGCACTAAAGTTATTTAGTGGAGAGTCAAAGACATTCTGTAGCTCAGCACAACCTAATAATCAGTGTCTATAAGGATGGCCTGGACTCATCCAGAAATAGTTAAGCTGTTATTTAATTCACTTGGTATAAGAAGACAGAAAGCTATCATTTGAAATAATTAACAAAGAAAAGGACTTGGTTGCAACCACAGATGCTTCTATTATTTGGAACACACGCTTGCATAGAACACCTCCTCCCTGCCAATGCAAGCAGGTGTCACAATATCCGCCAACCAAAGCATGTCACACTAGGTTCTGCCAATGTGAATATAGGTCTGAGTCAGCATTTTGTGTATTTGAGATATGTATGTACGTATGTGCACGCATACATACATGCTCATGTTGAGGTGTGCTTATGAGTGTAGAAATGGGAAGATGTGAAGGGATGTACATATAAAAAATAAATTCAGTGCAGATACATGGTTTATGCCCATCATCTTGCCTTGACCATCTTTCTTCCTGTTCTACTGCTCTGTTTTGCTTTCTTTCATGCGATACCATGGGTCAGATTTAGCTCAGTTGGAGATTGCTTGAATTATCTGACCCTGCCCACCTGTTGAGCCCAACAACTCCATTGCCCTATTCTGTAGCCTCAACTACATCTGTTTGCCAGAGCTGCCACCTGTTCTTTGGCCCATTCTGGCCAGAACTAATTCCTTGAAACTGACCTAATGACCCTGCTTAGGCTAAGTTAAGCACTGGTCCTGGCAGAACCAGGGGCAGGAGCAAGGTGACAAGGTTGGACTGTAAGGCTTTGCATGGTGTGAACCAGGATCCCTTAGGGACAACAGGAACCTGGATGCAAGAGAGGCTGTCTGAAGTGGAGACTGCTGCTTTTGGGCAGAGGGAAAGAACACCTGAAGTTCCCAGGAGCCTGGTCCAAAGGGAAAACCAAGTGGAGAAATGAAATGAGAACCAAATGTGGAGAGTACTGGGTCATTAGTGAGAGGAAGTAAGGGAAGAGAAGAGTAAATGCAAAATCTGAAGTATCCTAAAGTATGAATTCAAGACAGCCAGGAGGTTCCAATACTGTCCTAAAAAACAAACCTTTTTTTTTTTTTTTTTTTTTTTTCTGCTGAGCATGTGTTTATTGGTTTCTGACCTCATGCTTGCTGTTGCTTGATGAAGTTGTTCAGTCCATTGGTGGAAGAATCACAAGAGGTCACTGAGGTGTTTGTTGCCATCCAGCTCAGGTTCAGTCTTCCTAGCCAGCTGCTTCCCCAGCTCCACTCCCCACTGGTCAAAGCTGTTGATGTCCCCGATGATGCCCTGAACGAAGATCTTGTGCTCAAACATGGCAATCAAGGCTCCAAGAATGAATGGCATGAGTTTGGTGAACACAATGGAATTGGTTGGGTGATTTCCTTCAAAGACCTTGTACTGCAACAGCTTCCCTAAGTCCTCTGGACTCTTTCCCCTGGCCGGTCACTCTTTTCTGGCCTCTTCCATTGTTTTCCCCTTCATCAGGGCCTCAGTCTGGGCTAAGAAGTTGGCCAGAGTATCTTGTGATACAATCCCTTCCATATAAGATTCTGGGACTGGACTGGGGTGAGGAAGTGACAGGGTATTATTCTGGTAACTTGGTGGCTAAGGTGGTAGAAGGCATGCTGGCCACTGGACCTTGGCTTTCCTCACAAGATGGGGCCTATCTGATATTCCACACGGGTGCCAGACTTGGTGATATACTTCCCATTGGACTCCATGTCACCCTGTTGGAAGTAGGTAGCAAAGTGGTGCAAATACTGGTCATAGGGCAGCATGGCTGGTGTTTAACACCCAAAGCAATTGATGTTCCAGATATCCAGAAGAGACAGCAAGACCTGGAGTTCTTCTCCAGAGGCTTGGTATGGAAGTGCTGATCCATCTAGTAAGCCCCGGAGAGCAGCTGTTCAAAGTTGTCAAAACCCAAGTGCAGGGCAATGGAGAGTTCAATGACTGACCACAGCAAGTATCATCCTCCTACTCAATCCCAGAACTCAAACATGTTTTGAGGGTCAGTTCTAAACTCCTTCACTTGGTCATATTGGTAGACAGAGAAACAAAGTGCTTTGCAACCGCAGAAGGATCATTTGCTGACATGAGGAACCACTCCTTCGCTGTCTCTGCATTGTGATGGTAAAGTTCTTAGAGGCAATGATGAACAGGGAGGACTCGGGGTTCAGGGAGGCAAGGGTTTTGGTAATATGGGTCCCATCAATGTTGGAGACAAATAGACACGGGGACCACCTAAAGAGTATGACTAAAGGACTTCAGCCACCATTAGGGGTCCCAGGACACAACCACCAATGCCTAAGTTGACAACATCCCTAATGGGCTTACCTGTCTAGCCCTTCCATTTACCACTTCAGACACGCTGACAGAAAGACTTCATCTTGTCCAGTATCCTGCTGACTTCTAGCATCACATCCTTGCCATCCACCAGAATAGGTATGTTTGACTGGTTCTGCAGGCAGGGCCACATGAACCAATGGCAGATTCTTGCCATTGAAGTTGATCTTCTCGCCATTGAACATGTGATCCTGGGCAGCTTCCATACCCCCAGACTTGGCCAGGTCCACCAACATCTGCATCACTTCCTCCATCACAAGTTTCTTGGAGTAATCTTGCAGAATCTGCCCTTGGTTGGTGTTAAAGGTCAAGATGAAATGGCTGAAGTGTTCCTTGTCAGAGGTGAAAAGGATGAGCTTGGAGTTGTGCTTGTGGTACCATTGCTGCAATTTCTGGAACTGTGGATTCTGGGTGAAAGTGGCCATAGCAGGACCAGTTGGGTATATGGATAGGGACCAGCTAGGAGGAAGAGGAAGCCATACCAAATTTTTAAATTATTATTATTGAAGGCCTATTATATGGCAAGAATACTGATGTGGCACTGTAGGATAATCACTGGACCGCTAACCACAAGGTCGGCAGTTCAAACCCACTAGCCACTCCTCAGAAACCCTACAAGTGATCGCTATCAGTTGGAACCCACTCAACGCCACTTAACAACAACAACAACAATTACATGGTAAATATTCACCAGACACTGGGCATATCTCAGTAAACAGGATATAGCCTCTGCTCTCAAAGAGGTTAAAGCATAGTTAAGGAGACCAACAATTAATTTCATGTTTACAATTTTGTGTGAAAAGTGCCACAATAGATGCAAGAGAAGGCTTTCTGGAAACCCTAAGTTATCAGGTGAATACAGAGGGGAAGGGATGTTTCTTGGCTTGGAATAAAAAGTCCTTCATGAATTGGCTTCAGCCTCACAAGTCTCAGTTCTAACCACTATTGCTCATACACACATTGCATCCAGCAACATTAAGTTACTTGTAGCATATAAGTCGTTTCAGATGATTATTACTTTATACAGAAAGTCCTCCGCAGGACACACCCATGGAATTCTACTTATTTATCTTGATTCAACTCAGACAACACCTCCTCTGTGAAGGCCTTTCTTTCACTTAACCTTTATTTCAGATTGGTTTGAACACCTTTCTCTAGTGCTTCCATAGGACCCTGTACTTATCATAGCACTAATCAACCTAATTGTAATTGTTTATTTGTCTGTCTTTCCCACCAGACTATGAGGGCAGGGGCCATAATTTATTCAGTGCTGTATCCCTAGTGCTTTATACAAAACCAAAAACATAGTAGTTGTTGTTGTTAAGTGCAGTTGAGTTGACTCCGACTCATAGCGAACTTGTATAGGGTTTCCGAGGAGCAGTTGGTGGGCTTGAACTGCCGATCTAAATACATGGTAAATACTCAGTAAATATTTACCACAGTAAAAGAAGTGTCATTTCTTTGATCAGAAGCCATCCTCTTCATATGTGCTCTGGACCATCGACCCTCCTGCTTTCTAAGGGATAATACACCACCATATTTCTCCTGTCTCTTACATTTTCAACTTCTTCCTCTCTAATGAATCGTTCTTTCTAACAATATTCAAATATTTTCTCTTAATATGCATTGTGGAAACAAATAACTTCCATTAAGCTCCCTGGTCAAGCTCTCACCAAGCCTTTATCAATTCAGAAACAGACTCCTCCAAGGAATTATCTGTGCATGGTGTCTTCTCTTTCTCACTTTTATCTATATACTCCTAAAATTACTCCAATATGGTTTCTGTGTTGATCACTCTACCAAAAGTGCCTTACTGAAGTCATCAATGTTCTGCATGTTACCAGATACTGTGGAATACTGTCTTTCTCCTATTCTCCTGTCAGTAGCCTTTAGAATAGTTCACCAGGCTCTCCTCCTTGAAATACTCTCTTTCCTCTACTTGCAGGATCCTACACACTCATGGCTTTCCTCCTACCAATCTATATACCCTCCTCAGTCTCATCTGCTGGGTATTTTTCATCTATATGAACGCTAAATGATGGAATTCCCAGGGCTCTATTCTGAACTTTCTTCTCTTCTTCCTCTGAAATGTTTCTCTACATGATTTCCCCCATTTCCATGATTTTAAATACCACCAACATGCTGATGGCTTCTAAATTTATATTTTTTCAACCCAGACAGCTCTTCTGAGTTCCAAACCAGGATGTATGTAACTATCTACTTAACATCTGCTGGCATATAAGAATCCTTTTACACAAAAGCTATCTCATCGTTTCTTCATCTCTTCTCAAACCTGGCCCTATTCCAGGGTTCTGCCATCTCAGTGAGTGGCACAAGTACAGATTCAATTCATGAAAATAGTATGAAAGTTATTAATGATTCCTCTCTCTACAATCCATCACCAAATTCATTCAATTGTACCTCTGGGTATTTCTACATCAATTCATTTCTCACTATCTGATATGACTGTCCTGGTTCACACTACCATCATCTCTTACCAGTAACATTGTAATAGTGTCCACACTGATTTTCCAATATTCAATAGCCTTCCATTCTTCCCAAAAGTCATTCTCCACATAGCAGTTACAGTGCTTTTAAAATATTAAATGGATCCTATTACTCCACTGAAAACCAAAGTGTTTCAAACTTACTTATAATAAAATCCAGTGATACCCTGCGGTATCTGGTTTCTATTTACCTTCCAAGCACCATTTATGACACTTTCTCCTTCAGTCAGTATATTCAACCACTCTACTATTTTCTGTGTTCCTCAAACTCTCCAAGATCTTTACCACTTAATGGCTTTGTTGCTAACTAATCCCTCTGTTGAAATCCTCCCCTCTACAGGCCTTTTTTTTTTTTTTTTTTTTTTTGGTCTGGATTTTTTGTGCTTCAAGTCCCTGTTCAAATGTCACATTCTCATAGAAGCTTTCTCTGATACTACGAATCCAATAAAATTTAGATATTCTGGTTATATACCTTCTTAGTAGCCAAAGACCACTACTTGTCTGTTTGTTATACTGTGGTGGTTTGCATGTTGATGTGATTCTAGAAGCTATGCCACGAGTATTTTAAATACCAGCAGGGTCAACCATAATGGAGAGGTTTCAGCTGAGTTTCCAGATGAAGACAGACTAGGAAAAAGGGGGAGATGGACTACTTCCTAATATTTAGTCACTGAAAACTTTATGAATAGCAGTGGAACACTGTCAGCACCAAAATATTGAATATTGAAACATGATGAAGCGCACCAGAATATTGTCAGATATAGTGCTGGAAAATAAGCCCCTTGGGTTAGAAGGCACTCAAAATGTGACTGGAGAAGAGCTGTCTCCTCAAAGTAAAGTTGACTGTGATGATGTGAATGAAGTAAAGCCCTCAGGGCCTTCATCTACAGATGGGGCACAACTCAAAATAAAGAGAAACAGCTATAAATATCTATTAATACTTGGAACATGGAATGTACGAAGTATGAATCTAGGAAAATTGAAAATTTTCAAAAATGAAATGGAATGCATAAACATCAATATCCTAGGCATTACTGACCTGAAATGAACTGGTATTGGCCATTCTGAATCTAACAATTATATGGTTTACTAGGCCAAGAATGACAAATTAAAGAGGAATGACATTGCATTCATCATCAAAAAGAACATATTGAGATCTATCTTGAAGTACAATACTATCTGTGATAGGATAATATTCATATGCCTACAAAGAAGACCAGTAAATACCAGTATTATTCAAATTTATGTGGCAACCACTAAAACTAGTAATGATGAAATTGAAGAATTCTACTGACTTCTTCAGTCTGAAATTAATCAAACATGTAATCAAGGTGTATTGACAATTACTGGTGATCGGAATGCAAAGGTTGGAAACAAAGAACAAGGGTCAGTAGTTGGAAAATATGGCCTTGATGACAGAAACAATGGTGGAGATTGCATGATAGAATTTTGCAAGATCAATGACTTCTTCATTGCAAATACCTTTTTTAAAACAACATAAATGACAATTATACACATGGACCTCACCAGATGGAATACACACAAATCAAATCGACTACATCTGTGAAAAGAGATGATGGAAAAGCTCCATACAATCAGCCAGAACAAGGCCAAGGGCAAAATGTGGAACAGATCATCAATTGCTCATCTGCAAGTCCAGGCTGAAGCTGAAGAAAATTAAAACAAGCCTATGCAAGCCAAAAAATGACCTTGAACATATCCCACCTGAATTTAGAGATCATCTGAAGAACTGGTTTGATGCATTTAGCCACTAAAGACCAAAAACCAGAAGAGTTGTGGGATGACATCAAGAATATCATACTAGCACTGAGGTGGTGCTATAAAGTTCCAGTCCAAGTCGCCTACCTCGAACTTGTGCGCAGCGAGCGTCGGAGTCCAGCTTGGCTAATGAGGATAATCACGGACATGCAACTCGCCATTTTTGCCAACATGCTGGGCATGTTTCTCTTCTTGCTGGTCGTTCTCTATCACTATGTGGCCATCAACAATCCCAAGAATCAGGAATGAGAGTGGCACTTTCTCCACCCCAGGACATAGTCTGAGGCGAGATGGAGGGTGTGAGGGGCCTTCACACTTCACTTCATCCCTTCTGTCCATCACAACATACAAAGCAAATACATCTAGATTTTTCCAAACAAATTTTATTGCCTCAAAGTCTTCCTTAACTTTATGGAACAAGAAGTTGCCACTGAATAGGGCCCAGTATAGGGGCTCCTTTCTTCATATATATATTTAAAGCCAAAAGTTATTAAAAAGACACTAAAGAGGCAAAAACAAAATGGATGTCAGAAGATATTCTTAAACTTGCTTTCCAGCATAGAGATGCTAAAGCAAATTGAAGAAATGAGTAAGTAAAAGTGCTGAATAGAAAATTTCAAAGGTCAGCTCGAGAAGACAGATTCAAATATACAAAGACCTGGGGTTAGAAAACCAAAAGGGAAGAATATCCTCAGCATGTCTCAAGCTGAGGGAACTGAAGAAAAAATTCAAGCCTCAACTTGAAATATTGAAGGATTCTATAGACAAACTATTGAATAATGCAGAATGCATCAAAGAAGATGGAAGGAATACACAGAGTAGCTGTACCAAAAAGAAATGGTCAATATTCAAACATTTCAAAAGATAGTATATGATCAAGAGCCAATGATACTTAAGGAAGAGGTCCATGATGCATTGAAGGCATTGGAAAAGAACAAGGCACTACAAATTGATTGAATACAAATTGAAATCTTCCAACAAATTGATGCAGCACAGAGGCAATCACTTGTCTATGCCAAGAAATTTAGAAGACAGCTACCTGGTCAACTGACTTGAAGATATAGATATCTGTGACCATTCCAAAGAGAGGTAACCCAATGGAATGCAGAAATCATCAGACAATATCATTAATGTCCCATGCAAGCAAAATTTTGCTAAAGATAATACAAAAACTGCTGCAACTGTACATTAACAGAAAACTTCCAGAGGTTCAAGTAGGATTCAGAAGAGGATGTGGAATGAGGGATATCATTGCTGATGTTAGATGGCTGAAAACAGAGAATTCCAGAAAGATATTTACTTGTGCTTTATTGACTATGCAAAGGCTTGCAATTGTGTGGATCATGACTAGATATGGACAATATTGTGGTGAGTGAGTATAACCAAGTACAACCAACATCACATTTTCTAAAAACTAATCCTTCTTCTTTGAAATTCCTCATGGCACTTTCAATAACCTCTTATGCATGTGAAAGTTAGACAGTGAATTAGGAAGACCATAGAAGAATTGATGCATTTGAGTTATGATATCACAGGAGAATATGAAAAGAACCATGGTCTACCAAAAGAACAAACAGATCTTTTGTTGGAAGACATATAGCCATAGTGATCCTTGGAAGCCAGGATGGCCAGACTTCATCTCTCATACTTCAGACTAGTCCCTGGAGAAAGATATTGTGTTTGGTAAAGTAGAGGGACAGAGAAAATGAGATGGACTGGCACAGTGGCAGTAAAAATGGGCTCGGGCGCAGCAGTGATTGTGAGGTTGTCACAGTATTGGGCAGTGTTTCATTCTCTTGTGCATAGGATTGCTATGATTCAGTACTGACTCGATGGCACCTAATAATAACAACAACAACAACAGCCAAAGAAATAACCATAGTCTGGTAAGGGAAGAAGACGTAGCCATTTAGTCATTCATTCAAAAAATATTGAATGCCTATTCTATGTCAAAGGAGCTCTGGTAGTGTAGTGGTTACAAGTTGGGCTGCTAACCTCAAGGTCAGCAGTTTGAAACTACCAGTTGTTCTGAATGAAAGATGAGGCTTTCTGCTGCCATAAAGATTTACAGCCTGGAAACCCTATGTAGGGTTGCTATGAGTAGGAACCACTCCACGACACACCACCACCATTTTTCTAGGCTCTGAAGATACAGTGGAAAACCACCAGATTATGTGATAACTACTTAAACCCTGGTCCACAATGTCTTACATGGAGACAGAGGAGAGCATCACTTGGTTCAATATATTGGATGGCACCAGACAGTCAAGCACAACTTCCTGGAGAGGATGATGATGGATTTGAGTATTAAAGGATAAAAAATTATTAGCCAGGTGAAAAACAAATATGGGAGCCCCAGAATTTTGGATCTTGTACAAGGTGCCAGGTACCATACAAGGTGCCAGGTACCAGGTTCCTGTGTCCACCAGTGTATAAATCTGACTGTGAAAAGCAAAATCAGTGATTGCGGAAATCAATCCGGATACAGGACATTCCCAGCAACCCCTCACCCTGGGCGGAAATCAGAGGGTTGGGGCCACAGCCTGGCTGGTACAGTGAGTGACACAGCACAAAAAAAACCAAAGCTTCTGGAAAAAGAGGTATGACAGACTATATACCTTTCCATCCTTCTCTCCCCTGCCGCACCCTCACTGCCCAGCCTGGACACCTTCAGGTAGGTGGGAACACACCCCTAAAAGGGTCCAGCACCCACAATTTTCCCATGGCACAGGGAGGTGGTCACTGGAAGGAGCCCCATTGATCCCACAGACTGATCCTTTGGCGGCTTCTTATGACATCTGACTCTGGGACCCAGTCCTAAAGTTGACCTGGGCAGGACCCTTTATACCTGATTTACCTAGCAAGAAAAAAAGCAGGTTTGATCATATGGCTAAAACTTATGTGCAACTTGTGAAACCTCAATATAAAAGGCAAGAGACAATGCCAACTATTATATACAAGCATGCAGTTATTTTGAGAATTATGTTGTGCAGACACAGATACCTACCTGACCCTTAGAGATAAAAATTAGGGGACAATATTTCTTCCATTCATTTTGCAATATCTATCTGCACACCTCCACGGCAGTGACTAGGGGAGGGGCCTGAGCAAGTGGACATCCCCACACACCACTGGAGGTTTCTATAGTGCATGCACACTGACCTGCTCAGCAAAGGCTACTGGACAGTAGGCTGTGGTCCTATTCTTGTCTTTGAGTGGTGGCTTTTGTCTCTGCTTTTATATTGTTTCTATTTTTGGTCTCACTTTTTTCTGGGGGTGGGAGCTTTCTCCCCCTATGTTACCCAAGAAGAGACAGCAATCATGTCCATATACTCAAGCTACAAGCATACCCCATAATATCCCACCATCTGGACAGGAGCCACGACCAGCTGCTAGGCATTACATGTGAAAAGGGAAGCCTATCTCTAGGTCACATGCACCAGGCGACACTCAGTAAACTTAACAACACAGCTACATTCATTTAATCATTAAAAACTCACCTACCTACTGAAAATGTTCAAGAAAAGTCAACAAAAGTTCTCAGCACATGTCCAAAAACAGAAAAGAGTAACTGAGACAAATAAGATGGAGGCAGGCATAGACATCCCACTAGAACAAGAGCAGGCTTTGGATCTGCCTGAGTAGGACATTAGAAGGTTGATATGGAGACAAATTCAAATGCTCCACAGAGGGTTTGAGAAAAATAAGGAAGAAGTCAAGAAAGTGCTACAAGAGCAATCAAATAAGATAGATATAGCATTTGAAACAATTCAAAACCTGCAAAAAGAGTTCCAGATGATTAATAATAAAATATCAGAAATGGACAACACACTGAAAGGGCAAAGGAGTAGAATTGAAGAGATGAAAACCAGAACCAGTAAGCTGGAAGACAAATCTCTCAATACTGCTAAGATACAAGAGCAAGAAGAAAAAAAGAGAAAAAAAAAATCAGAAGAGAGTCTAAGATTCATGGTGGGTAACATGAAGAGGCACTGCAGAATAGGATGAATCACAGAGGTCCACAGAGGAGATAGTTGAGGAACTACTGGAAGAAAATTTCTCTAACAACTTGAAGGAAGAGCAGATAAACATTCAAGAAGATGAACGAACCCCAGGAAGGATAGACTCCAAAAGAAAATCACCGAGACATATCATAATCAAGCTCTCCAAAATCAAAGCTAAGGATAAAATCCTAAAAGCAGCCAGGGAAAAGAGAAGTGTTACCTACAAAATCAAGCAAACCAGCTTAAGCTCTGACTTCTCAGCAGACACCATGCAGGCAAGAAGGCAATGGGGGGACATATATAAAACCCTAAAAGAAAATAACTGCCAACCAAGAATCATCTATCCAGCAAAACTGTCAGTTAAATACAATGGTGCAATCAAAATATTCCAGGATAAACAGAAGTTAAGAGATTTTGTCAAAGCCAATCATTCACTTCAAAATATCCTAAAGGGAGTTCTTTGGACTGTAAACCAACAAGAGCAGACAACAACCAGAGATTGGCAAACATGACAACATCCCCACAGAACTCAATCGACAGATAGAAGAATTCAGAGCAGAACAAAATTACAACAACGAATTCAGAGGACCTGTGAGGTCAATCAAAGATAAAAATATCAACAATGTCAAAGAAGGGAAAAACATAGGAACAGAGATTCAGGTGGTGAGGAGGTCATGTAGATTGCAGGATACAATAGACTATCTTAAATGCAGCGAAAAGTTAATAGACTACAGGCTAACCACCCCCCCAAATTAATACTACACAACTTACCATGAAAATGGAGATCCAGTCAGAACAAGGAAACATTGAAACTAAGAAGAAAACTGACAAGAAATAGCACAAAAAGCTGAACTCAGCACAAGAAAGAATACAGAACAAAGGAATGAACAATGACACAAAAATTAACATAATGACAGCAATTAATTCATACCTATTGATAATTACACTGAATATCAGTAGATTGAATGCACCAGTGAAGAGACAGAGAGTGGCAGAATGGATAAGAAAACAAAACCCTTCAATATGCTGCCTGCAAGAGACACATCTTACACACAAAGAAAAAAACGGGCTAAAAGTTAAAGGATGGAAAAAATTTACCAGGCTAATTGCAATAAAAAATGACCAGGAGTGGCAATACTAATCTTGGATAAAATAAATTTTAGGCAAAACCACCATAAGAGATATAGAAAGACACTATCTCATGATTAAAGGGACAATTGAGCAAGATGAATAACCATAATAAGT